CCATCTCAAATTTGGGAAACATATTTACATTGTGTCATTTCTTGAATAGTATTTTCCCGTGAAAGTAAAATAAAAACTAACCTCAAACCAACAATGAGGCCTAAGATTAATTAAAAGTTTTTTTTAGTACAACATATAAGGTTAGGAATTCGAGCTCGTAACCTCTTAGTTTGAGATAGATATTTTAATTGGTTGAGCTATACTCAGGTTGACAGATTAAATGAAAGTTAGTATTTAGAACTTGATTTAAATTCTATTTTGGTTTCCTTACTTTTAACTCTGGTTCATTTCGATCTCTATACTATCAAAATGTCAATTTTGGTTCATGTACTTTATAAGTTTTTGTCTATTTTAGTCTGTACACTTTTGAAACATCCATTTTCGTTATTGTACATTTAAAAAAATGAGGATCTTAACTATTTTATTTTTTTCATTTTCACAATTTTAGCATAACACTTTACTCACTAAATTTTTTCAAACATAGCTACAAATTTGTGCTAAAAGGATTCTATTACGTACCAAATTTTAATCATTTTTAAAAAATAGAAAGATAAAAAGTAGAAATTCTAGAAGTGCAGTAACTAAGATAATATAAATTAAAAGTATAGAGATTAAGAAACTAAAAAATCCAATCACTAGTTTTTAACATTAATCATTTGGAGGAGAGAGAAATTAAAAATAAGTCCCGGTTTTTTAGGACGAAAATGGTATTGGAATGGAAAATAATAAAAAATTAGGTAGGAGAAATTTACAAGAAAAAGACCTAAAAGGACAAAGAAAAATGTCAGCTTCTTAATGGAGAAGACAAGAGGAAGTGCACTGCACCGGCAAAGTCAATTTAATATTTGATAAATTTTCTTAGTATTTTAATAAATGTCTGGAAAAAGGAGAAAAGAAACGCCGTCGTAAGATAGCAATGATCCTACGCCGCATCTTTTTTTAATTTTTAATTTTTAAGAAAACCAGCCACTGGTTTCCGCGCTTTGCTTCTGTTTTCTCCTATCCTCCTTTTTTTTTTCTTCTTTAATTATAATCCCAATTTGGCCTTTGGGAACGTCATCGGACCCTCTCCCAAGGGTCATTTTTTCAGAAGGCGGTAGAAGATCGTTCGAAAGCGAGTAGCTAAGACCCCGATTCGGGGAAAGCATCCAAAGAACAAGGTAGAAAGTAAGACAGGATGTCGTTAATTGATCTTCTCATAAGTAGAACACACTGCCTGTAATTTTAGCGAACTAGAGTCGGTCTTCAAAAGAGAGCGAGTGAGTGATGGGCAACCGTCAGTCTATATGTTGCTCGTGAGCCACCAAGTACCAGTCTCGCAACAGTACTGGCGCAAAAGAACAATAAGGTCAGGTCAGGCTTTTCCTTCGTTTCACCCTCCGAAGTGGCGTGACACAAAGCCCAATTGAAAAACACAAGTAAACAATGTTTGAATTGACTAATCTCTATAATTTCATTTAATCTTTTAAAATGTCAATGATGTGACTTTAATAATTTTTCTTAGTACCTAAATAAAGAAATATATATATATGTGTTTGTGTTATTTATTTATTTATTTATTGTGTGATATGTTTTCTTTAGTGTTTAGATGGAAACCTAGCACTTGTAAGCTCAAGTATGAGAATTAAATTAACACTTTTAAAATTGTAAGTACAAAATTGAAATTGCATATATATTAATTTAACTTATATATTAATTTAAAATTTAAATTCTATTTTGATCTATGAATTCTTACATTTATTTTGTTTTGGATCCTAAATTTTAAAATTTTATTCTTTTGACTTTTAAATATTCTACTAGTAATTAAAAAATATTTTAAATCTTTTTGTCCCATGTATTGTTGTATTAAAGAAAAAAAATAGATTTTACCCTTTAAAACTTCACACATTATTTTACAAAAACTCAAATTCATTCGAAAAGGAATAAAATATGTGTTTTCGTAATTTTTTATTAAATAAATTATTAAAGAGTAAAATATTTATTTTATATAATCTTGATGAATTAAAAATATAATATTTAAAAGATTATAGACCAAAATATAGATACAATCTCTTGTCTGGAGGTATATGTCAATTATCATTGAACTATGCTCACTTTGGCAATATTTTTTTCTTTTTAAAATTATGCATTACATGTAACTTAATTGGCCATTTGAATTAATCATACATAAATATTAATTAAATAATATACACACCATTAAAAGTGAACATTTATTGGTTTTAGGCTTTTTAGCAACAACAAAAATTAGGTTAGAAGCTTGACTTGAGCATATAAACTCAATAAAATAAATAAATATAAAAATATCGGTAACTTCTTAGGAAGGGGGGAGATTTGAATTGTCAATCCCAATTAATTACTTCGAAAAAAATGCTAACAAAATAACATTTAAATAATATAATCAACATGGATACATATAACCTAGAAGGGTAATTGACATCTATTATTTTTTTCAGCTTCCAGGTTCCAATTCTCATACCCCAATATATTGCACTAAAAAAGTATTTTAGAAATACATTATTTGATTCCTCTATTTTCTCAATTAATTATTTAGTTAGAGAAATAATTTTAAACAAATTTCTTTGTAAAAATTACATTGTTAATAAGACAAATAAATTTTAAATTATTATTATTTTTCTATATCGGTGAATTGTAAGCCAACTTGCCTGCACTTCAATTAATTTTACAGAAGAATCGACATTTGGTTGTCAAAGAAATATATAGGAAATTGATGATTTCAACTCGATCATTTCAAATTCTTTTTTATTTACATTGACTCTCTTCACACCAATGAATAATATTTATAACGATTTAGAAAATTAACACGTGCGGAGGAAAAATGTAAGTAGAGACAAAATTAATTGCCCATCTTATCTTAAAAGGTTGAATGGTTCATACTTTGAATGGATATTTCTCATGAATAGAATAGGTATTGATTTTTGAAATTAACGTGAAGTGTGACTTGATGTGCAACTTGGCTTAGTGTTTTTTAATTATGTGCAATTGGACTTGAAAATAACAAGCCATTATAACGACACTAATTTAGTCCCCGAACTTTAATATGCAACAATTATAATTTAATTTTTATCGTGAATTTTTTTTTTGTTAAGATTCTTATATATATAGATTGATAAACCAATATGGACCGAATGTGTTTATAATTAGAAAGATTAAATTGTTATATGATAAAACTAAGATAATAAGATTTTTCACGATAGAGACTAAATTGTTACAATTTCGAAATTACAGGGACTAAACTGTTACAAACTAAAGTTCTGAAACTAAATTGTTACACATTAAGATTTAAGGGTTAAATCGTTCCTTTATGATAAGGGTCAATTGTGTCTTTTAACCAAATTTAATTTTATATTTATAAAGCTGAAATATTTCTTAAATAATCTACAAATTTAAAAACAGGTGTTCCTTCATTATCAAGTGCTAATTAATATAACACCAACAGTACTTAATAAGAAGAAAAAACTTCAACCTTCATATGAGAGATTTTTCAGTTAAATTTAATTATTAATTCTTTTAATATTTTGGTACTTAGAAGACATTGTGGTTTAACCTGATAAAAATTAAAAGCTTTAAAGTTAAATAGTTATTTTCTATTTTAAAAATTATCATCTTCAACTTAATTTAGCATTTAAAAAGTTTCAATTTAATTAGTCCGTTACATTTGAACATTACTGGAGTAAACGCTAATATTTGATTATTAACTTACATGACATGATATACTTAGTAAGTTTGCATAAACTTAAAAGAATAACCAGGTTGAAAGAACTAATTCTTCTTCAAACTTTTAAGAGCTAAAAACAAATTTAATTTTCAGGTGAGTTAATTCGTACTCTAAATTTTTGTCAATTCATTATTATGTAAGCTTATCATTATCCAATTTAAATATTTTTAAAATATATTAACCAATTTAAATATTCATCGATGGGAAGAACATAATTTGAAAATTGTTTAAACATAAGAAAAAATAAACTGGAAACTAAAGAGACTAAATATGAAAAAAAAAAAAAACAAAATTTAAGTCTTGTCCAGTTGACGGTTGAGAACCTATCGTGTGTTCACTGCTTTTAAGAGAGAAAATGCAAGAACTGAAATTAAAAAAATAATAATAAATAATAAATAACAAGTTTTCAAATTTGGTCAGCATAGAAATAACTATCACGAGAATTTAATAAAACAAACATATATTTAATGTAAAAGTTTCAAAGAAAAGAAATAGGAATTTATTATTATTATTATTTTCATCCTCAATCAATATGAAAATAAAAATGCGGCTAAAAATTAAAACCAAACTTGTAAAGGTTGAGATATCAATTTTACGAATATGGATAAAAATATTAATAAAATAAAAATAAAAATTTCCGAATTTCAACCTTTATAAATAAGTTAAAAATGATTAATATTAATATTATGTCTGTATTATTATTAAGGGCAAAATGCATTTTTGGTCATTGATAAATTTTCTATTTATTTTCTAAGTTTCAAAAAATGAAAATTTGGTCTCCAACATTTAGGAAATAATTCTAAAGATTTGAGATCAAACTGTTACTTTTTAAAATGTAAATGTAAGGACAAATAGAAATTTATCTTCATATTTTTACCATATTATTAATCATATTTTTATTGATTTTTAGAAATTTTAATTTACTTATGGACATCCAACTAAATACATAAAAATACCTATGGAAATGTCAATATGCGGAAAGATATTTTAATACTCTCATTGAAATGTTCTAAAAATAAATAAATAAATAATACTCATAAAATTATGGCCATTGTTGACCGGTGGACCCAGCTGGGCCGGTCGCTAAGCAGACCTTTCAAAGAAACTACAAAGAACGAAAGCCGAACCCGCCGCCTCATTCCACCCACTCTCCTCCAGCCACATGTACGGCCACGATTCCACGTCCTTCCCGCCTACTTTGACGCGTTCAGTTTGTAACCCTAAAATGCCCCCCTTCGCTCTCTATATAAACCCCTTCCTCTCTTCTTCTTCCTCATCTCCATTCCGAAGAAATCAAGAACTTCTCCACACAGAAACCGCGAGCGAGTTTCAGAAGACGCTTCTCTCCGATTCCGTTCACGATTTTCTCGAGCAGCAAACAACCGGAAACGGAAGAATCGTCTTCAGAAGAAATCCATTTTCCAACTTCCAATGGCTCGCTCTGTCTCCAGCGTTAAGGTTCTCTCCGCTCTCGTCGCCGATGGATTCTCCTCCGCTCTCAGCCGGTAATTTTTCCTTTTTCTCTCATGGTGACTGAACAGATCTCTGCCTCGATTGGAGTATTTTCGGTGTTTATTAATGTTTGTTCTGATTTTCGTTACTTTTCAGGCGTGGTTACGCGGCGGCTTCGCAAGGAGTTTCGTCGAGTGCGGCGAAGGCAGCAGGTGTTAATCTGTTAAAGAAATCCGGGGAGGACAGGGTTGGATCCTCTGAGAAGGTTTCTTGGGTGCCGGATCCTGTCACTGGCTACTATAGGCCGGAGAATCGCACCGATGAGATCGATGTTGCCGAACTTCGATCGATCCTCCTTAAGAACAAGAACTGAACCTAATTCAAATTAAAACGTTTAGCAAAAAAAAAAAGCTCGGATTATATAAATCGATGGAGGAGAGGCCTTCCGGATCGAGCGCGAGTGTGGGGATCGAAACCGTATCCGATGATCGGCCGTCGGCTTTATCGGCGGCGTTACGATTCCAGTTTTAGATGTAATTCTTGTTCCTCTATTACTTCCATACTCTGTTTTTAGGATTTGAATAATTTCCGTTACTGTAATAGTAAAAGAAAATACACAATAAATAGGCAGTAGCCTCTTTATTTCTGATCCTCGTTCTTTTCTTCAAACTCAATCCGGCCTTTGATTTTGTTTCTCAAGAGATGAAAAAGGTGGAATCTGGAAGGACCGTTTAATGGCGGAATTCGTGGGGATGAGAAATTCAATTTGGAAACTAGTTGTGTATTATTTGTTAAAAATTTCAATTCACGAGGATTGTTTTTTTTTTTTTCTCTCTCTTGGGGTGGGAGAAAAGTGGAAAATTGCATCACGAGATTGTAAAAGAAGAGTGGGTAAAGCCCGTTTCAAATTGGTTTCGGTTTCTTTCCTAATCTGACCCTTCATGCTTTTTCACGTGATTAAAAAATAAAATATCTTTATCTCACAAAAAAAATAAAAATGAAGTAAATATAAATTTTTTTTTTCTTTCCTATGCATGATGCCATATTAATTCAATTTCATAGGGAGTGAAAATTATGACCGTTTTTCAGTTTTTGGTAACGATTCTTTTATATGAAATTTAGAATTTAGATATTTAAAATTTTTATGTATTATTTATTGCATATTTCTAAAATGGAAAAGATTAAAATATTGTTTTATTATTGTATTTTGTTTTTTTTTCGGGCCAAAATAAATGAATATTTTGATGAAAGTAAAATGGAGAAGAATCAAAATTGAAAGGGGAGAAACTAAAATTATATTAATTATATAATATAATATTAAATAAAAAACATTTACGTTTCTCAAAATTTGAAATTGAGATTCAAGAAAAGCTTTCTATTTTTTATGCCATCCATCATAAAAGTTTTCAAATAGCCTCTGCCTTTTTAATGTGAATTTTAAAGTGAAATTATTAATTGTCATTTTAGGTGAATTTCCATACCATTCGATATTTTATTATTTCAAGAGTTCGAAGGTCCTAATTTTTTTATAGAACATAGGATAGAGATATTTTGAGAATTTTAACCGATAAATAAGAATATTTCCTCCTTATTCGATCCCTATTCAACTCAAAAGAAAAAAAAATTATATGAACTACAACTAATATAATTTTAATTTAATTTAAAATAGGTCAAAATATAATATAGTTCATGAACTTTTCTAATCTAACATTTTGATAAATTCTACTTCTGATCTTTACTACTTTTTTTTCAATGAATAAGTGATAGCATATGAGTCGGAGAATATATCATAGTGACCACTTCTTATTAGATTGAAGTTGAATCATCAACCTATGTTGAATAAAAAAAGTGCACAAATATGTATGGAAGGAAGAGTTGAAACAAAGTGGCAGAGAGTAGATTGGGAACTAATGTTTTTTTTTTCCTTTTTGTTTTTAGTACATACAACAATAATTTAACTCAAGTAAAAAAGTTTATTTGTTAATTTAAATATTTATTATGAATTTTTTATTTTTATATTTTTCTTAAAAATATTAATCGATTTTATATTTTATCTATATTTTCATCTAACATTTTTGACCAGACATAGATACTAAAACACATAGATATTATCAAAGACAAACAAAACAAGATCACATGAATTTGCTTCTTATTGTTTTCTTTAACAAAAGAAATTGATATTTTTTTTTCTTTAACAAAAAAATATTTATTTATTTTTCCTGTGGAAAAAAGCATCTGAAAAGTAGAGAGGAGATTTGTGGGAGTGATACTGTGTGGCCACAACGTTAAAGTAATCGAAACAGTAGCCACGTGGCAAGATTGCAGTGGCCAACATTCCATGAACTCGGTTCTCTCTTGGCGACCACATAGAGAGGGAGAATTAAGCGGGCTTGATTTTTCGTTATCATCTTAAAATTTCTAAAAAAAAAAGTGAAAAATATATCAAGAAATTGTGATAAAACAAGCCTTAACTTTTAATAACAAAGAATAAAAAAACGAAATGGTTATCTAATGAAACCTTAGTTTTTTAAAAAATAGAAAAAAAATATTTTTTATATTTTTTTCTCATAACTGTCAAACATTCATGTCCATTGGTAAACCCCTAATATTTTTCAATTGAATGTGATGTTTCAATTTTGGAATTATAGATGAAAGAGTAGTTTGTTTATTATTATTATTAATAAGTGGTTCTAACATTTATGATCTATGACGTGACAAATGATATTCTTTTTTGAATAACAAGTGAGAGTTAATACCCTTCATAGTTTTTTTTTTCTGATTTTTTTTCTTAAACAGTGGTGGCTAGCCAATGATGTTTTGTGATTGAACCAAACTTTTTTTTTTTTGGGTAATATTCATTTGCTTGTGTTGGTGCTTTTTTTCTAGATTAGAACATTTTTTTGGTTACATTTTTCATTTTAAATTTTGTGGCTAGATTTGAGTTTTGAAATTGTGTAAGGGTATTTATGGACATGAACATTTAAATTGGGATCGAGAAATAGAGTAAAAAGGAAAATAAAAGTTTTTTTAGTACGAAAAATAAAAGATATATAAGCAAATGTCGATCTAACTTCTAAGCATAACTCAAGTAGATAAAGTATTTTAATATTATTCTAAAAGTTAATGGTTCAGTCTTCCGCGTTGAACTACTGCAAAATTATTTTTAATTAAAAAAAATGTCATTGGAACTTATTGAAGACGTGCATTGGGCCCTCCTAATAATGTTCTGCCTTAGTCCCATTGGATCATATTAACATGTATATGAATTTATAAACATATATAAATTTTAACTAAGGGTTAAGTAAGGGTTATCACCATTTTTTCTTTTGGTTATTGGTTTTTCTATCGTCTGTTTTTAGTTTTTAATTTTTAAAAAAATAAAAACTATATAAGTTTGATAAAAGTTTTTTGTTTTTAAAACACAGAAAACAAAACATGTTTCATAATCATTTTTGGTTTTCTGTTTCTAAAAAGTTAGAAAATTGGAAATAAATATTAGAGAGAATATTCTATCTAGGATAGAGATGACAATAGTGTGGGGCGGGGTGAAGATGTACTCGTTCATTCTCGTGCTTGTGAAAATTTTTAGTCCACTATCTCCACCTCTTTCTTCGGTTCTGGAATCGAGAACCAAGTTAAACAATCCTTATTTGGASATAGGAATATTCGCGGAAAAATTACCGTTTTGTAATTAATTTTAATTATTTTTAGAATTTAAAAAATAAAAAGTGTAATAAATATATACTAATTATTATTTACTATTATAAATAATTAGCTTTAAAAAAATTAATATTTTATTCACAATTTAGTAAATAGGTTAATAAAATATATATTATTTATTAAAAAATAGAAATGAGAATGAGGTTTGACATGCATGTCCTATTCCTTGGAAATAAATTTTTTAAAGAGAATCTCTAGAGAGATAAATAGATTTAGAAAAAGAAAATTTAAAGACAGAGAGAAAAATTTAGAGAAAAAAAAAGAAAAAATAGAGAGAGAAATATATGTTAAAGAAAAAAATTAGAAAGAAAAATAAAAATTATAGAGAGAAAAAAATTAAAAGACGAAAATAATATTCGAAATATACTTTTTAGAGAAAATAAATAAATAAAATTATAAAAATAAAAGTTAGAGGGGAAGAAAATTGAATAATTTTAAGAGGAAAAATAGATTAGGAAGAGAAATAAAAGTTTTAAAAAACGAAATTGTAGAAAAAGAAAAGTTTGAGAAAATATTAACTTCTCATATAAAGAAATGAAAGTGATTTGTTAGAAAAAATAACAATAAAAATATGAAAATTTTGGAGAGAGAAAAATAATAATAAATATTTAAAACATAAAGATTTTAGGGAGAAACAAATTTTGTAGAAAAAATTTATGAAGAAAAATTTTTAGATTGAGAAAGAAATTTATTAAAGATAATTATCAGAAATTAAAGAAAAATTAGATTTTGAAAAATAGAAATTTTTCTTTTAAACCTTTTTTTAATTTATATAGAATTTCAAAATCTTTTCTGAAAAAAAAAACCAGCAAATTGAATTGGTTTTTTGTTTTTAGTTTTTTGAAAACAAGTTTTTGATAACTGATTCAGTTTTCTTTTTTTTAAACCATTNGTTCTAAATTTTTTTTTACTTAAATTTCTCTCTCTAAAATTTTCATCTAAATATTTTTCCCTCCTTAAAATTTTCATCTTATCTCTAAAAATTTAATATTTTTTCAAATGTTTTTTTATCTCAAAGTTCACATTTTATAACTTTTATTTTTCAAGAAATATATATCTTCAACTTTTCTTTATTTAAATGTCTTTTTGTTCAATTTTTTTCTCTTATATCTCTCTTTTCTGTAACAAATATATATTTTTTTCTCTAAAATTTCTCTTTCAAAATTTTTTTTAAATCCATCTAAAATTTTATTTTGCAAAGATTCTCGTAGGTCAAGTCACCATTTTAATAACAAATAATGAATTTCTCACCATGTTTCCCTCTCCATTCTATTTTTTAAATAATTAATATATATTTTATTTAATATTTTACTAAATTATGAATAAATATTAATCTAATTATTTATACTAGTAAATAATAATTTTTTAAGTAAAATAATATAAATTATATATCTTTAGTACTTTTTATTTTTTAAATTCTAAAAATAATTAAAATTAATTATTTAACCAATAATTTTTCTCGTGAAGATCCTCACCTCCAAATGAGAATTCTTGGACCGGGATCTCGATTCCCAAAATTGGAGAATGATTTGGAGATCAAAATTAAAAATCTCATGGAAGAGGACGATTCCTACGCCACAGTTGCCATCTAATATTTTACTTAGATTTTTCTATATCTATCATATATTTTCAATTTTCAAATTTTTTAAAAATAGAAAACAAAAAATAATTATCAAACATTTATTTGGTTTTCAGTTTTTCAAAAACCGAAAATAAAAACAGTTATTAAACATATATGATTTTTTTATTTTTGTATTTTAAAAATAGAAAACTAAATACAGAAATAGTTAGACCCTTGCCAATTCTGTTTTTTAAAACCAAAAATCAAAAATAAAAAACAGGAAACGAAAGCTTATAAGAGTTGATTTGATAATGTTGATTTTATTTTATCTGTTATTTTGTTTTCTACTATATTCCCAAAAATAGTATTGAAATCATAGTAAAATATGAAAACTAAAACAATTACTGTCAGAAGTTTTATTTTCCAATTAAATAAAATAATAATCTAAACAAAGAAAACACTGTTTTCACATTTCATGCCCTCAAAGGGATCTGATTAGTTTTGAAAGTTGCAACTATTTTCTTCTTCTTCCTTTTTTTTAATTATTTTATATAAGTTGTAAGTTGATTAGAATACACTTTGAAAACTAAAAAAATAATTTCCAAAAAATTTTATTAGGATTTCAATTTTTTTCAAAGTACGGAAAACTACCGAGTGAGGAATCATGAACTTTTCTACATCCGTAAACATGATCATAACTCAACTGATCCATAGAGATCAATTAAGCCACCAATAACACATAACGTTCTAGTTTATGACCAATAAGTTTTCTAAAACCAAACAGAAGAAAATTGTTACTTTACAAAATGGAACAATTTCATCGGAATCCTATTTATCATCTTTTTTTTTTTCATTCCACGTTTATCACCAAACAAATATGGAAATGTCATTGCTGCAACTAGTATTGACGAATGGGAGAAGACATTACTTGCCTCCCTAAAAGTCGGAAGTTCAACTCCCCTCGCCCTATTGAACTCAAACGGAAAAGAAAAAGTAACCTTTCATGATTTCTTCAAACATTTCCTTGAATTCATTCAAGACATGAGCAAGATTCAGATTGGCAAAGAATATGGTCCAGAGTTCCCTTTATTCTATGTTTCTATCGAATGGGCTCAAAGGCTCTTTTACATTCTAGGTAGGTATTAACAAATGAAGATTAGATTGAACTCAGAAAAAAAAAACAAAAAAAAAGCCACAAGCATATGAAAAACCAGTCCAAATTCCTACCTGAGATTCAAACACCTTCATTTCGACATTAGATCAAAAAAGCAAAGATTCAAACGGATGAAATAAGAGATTTGGCATTAATTTTCCTCACTTTCCCATTCTTGCAATCGATTCCACACCCACATTGTGGGCACTCGGAGAAATTCTCCACCGGAAACGACGCCGTCGCCATCCCCACCGAGAACTCCAGATCGTCGCCTACTCTCACCACCTCCACAATGTTGACCCAGAAGAACATGAACTTCACACTCACACCCTTCAGATCTGTAAGCCTATTCCTGGAGATCTGCCCACTAATGGTAGATTTATATTTCAGGTCATATG